CGGTCCGGTCCATCAGAACCTGGTCCGGTCCATCAGAACCCGGTCCGGTCCATCAGAACCTGGTCCGGTCCATCAGAACCCGGTCCGGTCCATCAGAACCCATCAGCGGGTCCTGCCTGCTGGTTCTGATGAAGAGGAGGAAAGCAGAACCCTCTTCCTTCGTCATCCCTCCATCTGCCGCAGCGGAATCCCGTGACGTCACGGCAGGGTCCCGTTGCCTGGGTTACAWGTGACGTAGCGGTGGGCGGGGCCTGCGGCACCACGTGCCCTGTATAAAGGGCCGGTCCGGTCTGGTTCGGCTGCAGTCTGAGGAGYGGGATTCTGTGATCGTTGCGGGATTTTTGCGTTTTTTTTGTGTTCCGTGTTCACACTGGACCCTCGGTACCGGGTCGGAACCATGGCGGTGACGGAGGCGGGATGTGACCTGACTTACTGCAAGATGCGCGGGATCGTTGCGGTTCTGACCGGTGAGGTTCGGGTCCATTAGAGGAGCAATTAATTAAAATTTAAATAATAATTATTAAGTCATCAGTTGGGCTGTTTGTTTGTTTGTTTGTTTGTTTGTTTGTTTGTTTGTTTGTTTGTTTTATAAACACAAACAGGAAGACATTTTGTTCTGATATAAAGTTAAATCTCGCAGCTGTGCGCATGCGCAGTGCGCTGAGTGGAAAAAACCTCTGAATGAATGAATGGATGAATGAATGAATGAATGAATGGATGGATGAATGAATGAAACCCGCAGCTGGTTGCGTAACAAATAAACCTGCATCTTTCCAGTGTTCAGAACCAGAACCAGAACCCTGCGGTGCCGTCAGAACCACAGTCTGGACCTGTTCTGAAGGTTTTTATTTATCTTCTCTCYGCAGCTTTCATCAAGGACCGGAAACTGGGTCTGAATGACTTCATCCAGAAGCTGGTGTCCTCCCCCCACATCTGCCAACAGTGAGTCCATGGTTCTGTTTGGTTCTGMTTCTGGTTCCATTCATGACCCGGTCCGCTCAGTGTGGCGGCACCAGAGGTTAATCTGGAGTAAGAATAGTCCCGCCACTTCCTAATCCCCCCTGTTCCTGAAGGATAAACCTAATTCACTTAATCCACCGTCAGCGGCCCGGTTCTGGCCCGACTCACCTGTCCTGGCCCGGTTCTGACCCAGGACAGAGGACAGGACAGGAGACAGGACAGAGGACAGGACAGGTCAGGAGACAGGACAGAGGACAGAGGACAGGACAGAGGACAGAGGACAGGACAGAGGACAGGACAGAGGACAGGACAGACACCTGACCTGTCTCAGGTCTGGGCTCACATTAATCCCTCTAAGGGATCCAGACTCTTGGGATCAGAACCAGCAGCTCTACACGGAGCACAGTGGATCAGTGGTCAGCTCTGTTGTCTCACTACAGGAAGGTCCTGGGTTCAAGACCCGGTTGGACCTGAGGAGTTCTGGCTTCAGGACCAGGCGGACCTTTAGAGTCCAGATTAGAATAAATAAAACAATGACTCAAAGACAGGAACAGGAAGTGACATCATGTGTTTGTCCTGCAGCGTGGAGGTCAACAACTTCCTGAAGATCGATGAAAACCAGAACGAGGCTGAGGATGGAGCTCAGGTAAGACGCTTACTCTTCATCACGTCTCCGTTTTTACCCTGAGCTGATCCTAAATGTTGGATTTCATGTTCAGATGTTCCTGAACCCTCGCAGCTCCCTGGCTGAGGACCTCCAGTGAGTATTCTCCTTCATCTTCATCCTCTCCTTCATCTTCATCCTCTCCTTCATCTTCATNTCCTTCATCTTCATTCTCTCCTTCATCTTCATCCTCTCCTTCATCTTCATCCTCTCCTTCATCCTCATCCTCTCCTTCATCCTCATCCTCTCCTTCATCTTCATCCTCTCCCTCTGAAGGAGCTGGAGGAGGTAAATCTGTCTGTTTGTGTTTCAGGGTCAAACCGTGTGACTTCGACTACCTGAAGATCATCGGGAAAGGCAGCTTTGGGAAGGTGAGCGTCTGTCTGAGGGGCTGAAGGTGGGTTTGTCTTCTTCTCGCTCCTCATCCAGGATTTGTGGCTCCTCCTCTGCAGGTTCTTCTGGCCCGGCACAAGGAGACCGCCAAGTACTACGCTGTCAAGGTCCTGCAGAAGAAGATCATCCTGAAGAAGAAGGAGGTCAGAGGCAGAGCTTCATTTAGGTTCATGCTGAGTGTTTGGAGTCAGAGACTCACAGGTTCTGATGTTCTGCAGCAAAAACACATCATGGCAGAGCGCAGCGTCCTCATGAAGAACATCAAGCACCCCTTCCTGGTGGGTCTGCACTACAGCTTCCAGACCGCAGACAAGCTCTACTTTGTTCTGGACTACGTCAACGGAGGCGAGGTGAGCAGCAGAACCCTGCAGCAGCTCAGGGCCCGGTCCGACCCACACGCTAACGCTTTGTTCTCCCACAGCTCTTCTATCACCTGCAGAGAGAACGCATCTTCCTGGAGCCCAGAGCTCGCTTCTACGCTGCTGAAATCGCCAGTGCCCTGGGCTACCTGCACTCCCTGCACATCGTGTACCGGTGAGCATCATTAGTCCTGCAGCTCCCCCTGCTGGACACACAACAACATGACAATAATCCTGCAGCGCCCCCTGCTGGACACACAACAACATGACAATAATCCTGCAGTTCTCCCTGCTGGACACACAACAACATGAC